GCAAGGAAACCGATATGCGACGCCAATAGCCAATAAGGGAAGGATCGCAAAACTTTCCAGAATTACAAGTGCTGTTGCCAAACTACAAAAAATTGCTTCGAATAGATATTCGTCTTCAGGGAAAGTTTTGGACGAATACGATGTGTTTGGCCAACATATTGCTAATCAATTGAGAATACTTCCTGTCAGAAGCTATATAAAATTGCAAGAAAGAATCCAAACCCTTATCACGGAAGAAACACTTAAAAACTTACCATCACATGCACCTATCACGGGAAATAAAAACTGAGCTAAGATTGGCTCCATATTTCGTTTCACGCTTTGTTTCAAGTAATATACTTGCAAAAATCTGATGAATCTTTTCTTCGCCTCGTTGCCCTCTCTTCATTTTGAGAATCATTCGGTGGAGTATGTTATAAGTGAAAATAGAGGTCCTAAATAATAATGGTAGCGAAACAATTAGGTCCACCTTCACAGCTGCGAGACTTCAGATAAGGTGCTTGTACACGGGGATAGTGCAGACGGCTAGTAGATCTGGCAAGTGTTGCTCGCTAACTCGCTTGGTGACTATCCGGCTAGTAAGCCTGTACACACGTGGAGAGTAGAAGGTGACGCTATTTGCTCTTTCGCGCCCGCCAGTGCGTCATTAGAAGCCGTCGAGTGAGGTCTGCGAAGATGGTTAGTGGATCACCTTCAACAACTCGATTCTGTACGTCGTTTTTATACTATTTATTCTAGCCCTTGAAAATGCAGCGTCGGGAACAACTAAACCCTGACTAATAAGGTCTTCTTTCCGTTTCAAAATACTCGTTTCTTCCTTCATTTTGTTGGAGTAACCATCATGGAAAACATTATACTTTAATTCATATCTTTGGAATATTTCAAAAATAATTGAATATCGTCTGGAATTCACTTAGTTTGTTTCTTCTTAGAAACATTATCGTTCAAACAAGCCATGATTCACTTGACCCAAGATACTTCGCAAGAGCGGCACAGATGCTCTCACCATGGCTGCATCAGCGCTACTAGCCACTTCTCCAGCCAAGATATCAACACATCGTTGTCCCGCTCGGCCGCATCTCGGGCACTTGCCGGCGCATGCCTCTGAAGCGGCTGAACCCCTATACACGAGGCTAGTAGCGTAGACAGTTCATGCGCCGGATGAACTAGCGGCTAGTACTATCCCTGTGTCCAGGCACCTTTAGACTTGACTGGTTCATATGGTTAATCTTTCACCGATTAGGTTCGCCTCGTATCCCCGCTCGTAAATAAGATAACAATTTGAATCTTTTCTTGCACACCCAATTATTTATTTATTTAAAGTCTGTGCACAGTGACAAAATGGATATTTGATTAAAAGGGGTACCACGAAGGAAAATTTTACTCATAAATTTTCATCTATTGTGCAGTTTATATTTTTTGAGAGGTCTATTTATTTTACTACCAATTATCAAATGATCGATAGGATAGAATAGAAGTGTCGGCACTGAAGAAATCGGCCCATGGTCTTTTCACTCTTTTGCCGATTCATGTACTTTCGTGACTTGATTAACAAGGGATACGGCTTATGGAACCCGATCTTTCTGAAACTGACGATTGATTGTGAGATCGCTGCAGGACTTTTTGCCTGGTCCGTAAGGTGCCAGGCATTTTAAGACTGAACATATGCTCCTGCATAGCTTCGTCTAGTCTGTTCTTGAAAGTGTTCATACCCGGAGCGCCAACGATGCTATCAAGGAGGCTGTTCCACATGTCGGTGACTCGAAGCGGAAAGAAATACGCATGGATGTGTTACAACACAGTTTTTTTAGTTTATAGCCGTGGCCCATGGTGTTGGCTCTTGGTTCAAATTCTTGTAATCCTTCTGGGACCTTGTATAAACCCTGAGTATAATTGTATACTTCAATGAGGTCACCACGCAGACGTCGATAACTGAGGCCTGGAAACTTCATAATCTTTTAATCTTTCCTCATAGGACTTGCCTTTCAAGCCCGGAATTATCCTTATTCCATGTCTTTGAACACTCTCTATTAAATTTCGGTGACCACACGACGTTTCCAAACTCTAGGTTCGGACAACAAACAACTGCTTCATCGCTTCTGCATCTGGGAACTCGAAAGAGCGTCTGATCAGTCCAAGTCGTTTATTGTCTTTATTAACTTGACCTTCATTATGCTTAGAAAATTTCAACTCATTGTCGATATTAACTCATAAGCCTTTTTCCATTGCCAACTTCGACATCATCACTCTGTCGCTGCAACCGTGTCTTCTCGTACTGTAATCTTGCTGTTCATTATTCTTGCCGAGGTGGATTACTTTACATATGTCAGCGTTAAAACGCAGCTGCCCTCATCAGCCCAGTCAACCAATCTATCAAGATCACCTTACAACTGTACTTTTTGCGACGTATTCTTCACTATATTATAAACTTTTGTGTCGTCAGCAAACATCGATTACACGCTAGACACAGCTTCTGGCAGATCGTTTATAAACTCAACGAATAAAACAGGCTCGAAAACGCTTCCTCGTGGCACGCCGCATCGCACCGAAACACAGTCTGATACGGATAAATTAATACTGACACGTTGTCGTCTCCCTACTAGAAAATTCACAAAGACTTCAATTTACGCAACAGCCGCTCATGTGGGACACTGTCATATGCCTTGGCAAAATCGAGGTACACTGCATCTACTGGCTCCCTTTCGTCCAGCAGTCGGGTCCATGTTGACAGTCTGATAGGAGATTATTAGCAGTTAAATGATCGATCAATCGATCCCTCGCAACAGATTCCATTACCTTACAAACGACACTTGTCAAACTGACAGGGCGATAGTTGCCCGGGCAGCTTTTGTCACCTTTTTTGAGCGATGGTGTCACTTGAGCTTTTTTGATGGATCAGTTATTTATCGATCTGCCTTCTAGTTCTATTTATTCGTCTCAACTATTTACAAAAACAAGTGTGCCCGCCTGTGAAGTGTAGAACCTAAAACTAACCGTTCCTACATAGACCCCGTGGTGAGAATGAGGAGATGCAGACGTCATAAATTACTCAGTTGTCACCGAATGATGATTCTTATGGTCAATGGGAGCTGAACAAGAAGCGAGCGAAAATAAATGGCCAGTGGCTGGTCGTAGCGCATTAGCTCTAACTAACCGACAGCGATTCATCAGCTACCCGAGGAGACCATCTGTTGCCTAGAAATTCTTGCTGCTAAAGTAATCAGCTTACAAAGACTTTGCGCTCGAGAGTAGAAACTTGCCGATGTGAGAACCGAGCACAAATTGATATTGCCGCAAAGCGAATTAGGGTTTTAATTACGCAACAAATGCAGTTCCATTTAAGGTAATCACTATTGAATTTTACTGTAAAATCATATTATGTCCGTTGTTAATGTACTTGTATAAGATGCGACATAAGTTTGGAGCACGACAAGCTTGTTTCTATACTCCTTACTTAACAATCTTCCAATTTATTGCCTACAACATCGTTCATAGGTATCCGAAACTTAAAGCCATCTCTTAAGTAGTTCTGCTATTCACTTAAGATTGATCGGAGAACTTTGAGAGTAAATCTCGAAATTGTGGTGGCTTGAATGCGGAAGAATAATGTTGGGAACTGAAAGCTGTTACCAGTCTTTAGAAAATATCGCAGCGAAACCTGTATCTTTTCATTGAGCGATGATGCATTTTCCATAGAATTATATCTTATGTTTTCGTGTGGCTCAAATTTGCTAATAAGCTCCTTAAATAGTTTAAGTTATTCTGAAGTGTCAGTGCTATAGGATCCTCCACCGATAATTCACGAAATAGAGTAGATTATTTTTCGGCCTTCTTGCCCTTCTCAGTATTTCATCCATCATCACATGATTACACTAAACCAAACAAAACTTTTTTACCTACGAGTTTATGTTACACTTGAAGGCTAATAATACCCCAGCTGACGGTACACTAACAATTTTAGAAAACAAATAATTATCGTGTCTAGATGTCGCTTGCATCTGTAACAGTGGATTCGTTCAAATGTCAAAAAATCGGCGCCCGTCTGCCTAGTGATTTACAATTTATTTATAATTTGTCGTTGCTACTACCTTCAGGTCGTGAGAAGAAGGTTGAGTGCACAAGATGGAGCTTCAGAAGACGCTTTTGACGAGGGCCGCGTCTCCGAAGCATCCAGCTCCAAGCAACGCAAAGAGAAACTGTTTAGCTGCCCGCATTGTGACTATTCATCCACGGAAAGATGCAATCTGAAGAGACATATTCTCAGTAGGCATACAACAGAAAAGCCCTTCAAATGCTCGGAGTGTGAATACAAGTGTGCAACAAAATGTATGCTTGAATCGCATGCTCTTTTTAAGCATTCAACAGAAAAACCTTTTCGCTGCTCGCATTGTGAATATACTTGCATTAATGAAACCTACCTAAAGAATCATGTTCTTTCTAAACATTCGGAAGAGAAACCGCTAAGCTGCTCTGACTGTGAATACAGGTGTGTAACGAAAGCCCGCCTAGACGCGCACGTTCTTTATAAACATTCTTCAGCGAGACATTTCTGCTGCTTGAAGTGCGATTATTCAGGCGCAACTAAAAAGGATCTTAAGATGCATGTTCTTTATAAGCATTCAGCCGAAAGACCGTTTCGCTGCTCAGAGTGTGGATATTCTTGTGTTGTTAAAAAGATTCTGGAGAACCACATTCTTTCTAAGCACTCGTCGGAGAAACCTCTTAGCTGCTCACAGTGTGAATTTTCTTGCGTTGCTAAAGGCACTCTTAGATGGCACATCATTTCTAAGCATTCAGTAAAGAAAGCATTCAGCTGCCCGCAGTGTAAACTTCCATGTGCCTCTAAATACAGTCTAACGAGACATGTTCTCACTAAGCATTCGTCAGAAAGGCCTCTTAGCTGCTCGCAGTGTGAATATTCTTGTGTCGCTAAATACCATCTAGACCGGCATATTCTCTCTAAACATTCCACTGAGAAGCCTTTACGCTGCTCTGTGTGAATATTCTTGTGCTACTGATATCAACCTAAAGTCACGTTTTATCGAACCATCCTCCAGAAAATCTTTGACACGTTGACGACAGAGTGGTACATACGTGTACCACGTAGTGCATTGTTGCTCATGGACGGAGTGGTATATATGTATGTGTACCACTCGTGTTGTTTGTTTCATCAATTTTTTTTAAATGGATTGTAGCATACAAGTAAGGGAGTTATTGCCGTAAAAAATAAAGTGAAGCAATATTAATAATCTCTGTTGGATCCGCTTCACTAAATGTTTAGTTAAAAAACGGGGTATTTGTGACTGTGTCGGAAAATCTGTGCTCAGCTCTCACATCGGAAGTTTGTTCTCTCGAGCGTGTAGCCACTAGAAACTGATATTGATCGCTTCACGGATTTTCAGGAAACTTGCGGTTTTCAGGTTCATTTCTCTCTTTACTTGCTTCCTATAAAGCTTCGTCCGGTCCCAAGAACACTCGTGTGGAGACAGCTCAGTAATTTACGACGTTTGTGTCGCCTCATTCCTTCAGTATTATTAGTAGTAGTAGAATAATTTGCCAACACTTCAGCTATTTCGCGCCGGAGTTCAAAAGATAACATCGCCAGCGAGGCGGAAGGCCTCAATAATGGAAAATCTCTAATTAATCATCACCCACAAGGGACGGAAGTTCTCAGTCTCTCAGATGTCCAGCCTGTTGAAGCTGGTTAGAATGAAGCAGCGTTAGCATCTCAAAGAGACGAAGAGTGACTACGAAGGACAGGGGGAAAGCAACAGAAACCAACTAAGAAGTCGCTTACACGGGACGTCGGCCGCCCGCACGAGAGAGACAGAGAAGGCAGATTCAAGTAATCCTACCTACACAATAACTTGATCCAACAACTGAGATCCGCAGTCAGAAAACGCGAGCTCCACGGTGGGGTCCTTACGAGCGGTGGGGCGCCTCCATAGGAGCAGACACCGGTGGGGGGCGCATCCCCTCAGGGATGCGCGAAATCTCAGGGCTTCTGATGATCACAGCCACGCGTCAGAAATCCCCCCTGACAAGTCATTCCTTCAACAACGCCTTTATCAGAACGGTTAGTACAAGGGATATGCACTCCCTCCTATGTCATATCCGTTTGTGACGAATTGTTGATAACAAATATCTACAACAAGGAGTCTGATCGAGAAATGCCTGGTAAACCGATCAGTGGAGAATGAATATTACAGCCAATAGGTATCTTAAAGGCCCCATGCACCTTAGAGTCCGACTCGCTAGTCTAACTCGGCTAACCTCAAAACCCCCAAATATGGCGCCAAACTAGCCGAGGTGGGGAAAAAAAGCAACCCGAGCCAGGGCTTCCAGCCTTCCACTGCTTGCTGTGGGGCTCGCCTCGGCCCTCGAGTTCAGTTGCTATGCATGCGTCAAATCTGGTAGGACATGTGCAGCGATGGCGGACTCCAGGCTATTCATGAGCCCCGATTTTTCAACAAAGTTTATCGAAGAGTACCGCAAGTTGCCGTGCCTTTGGAAGGTTCGTTGCTCGGAATATTCCAACAAATGGAGAAGAGATGAAGCATGGGAACATCTCGTCGGAATTACGCGGGAAAAAGAAGTCAATGCAGACCTTAACTTCGTTAAGAAAAAAGTGGATAATATTCGAGCATCATTCAGGAAAGAATTGAGAAAGATTCGCGAGAGCACGCAGAGTGGTGCGTCATCAGATGATACGTACATCCCAACTTTGTGGTACTTCGAATTGTTCAAGTTCACCGCAGAGCAGGAGCAGCCTCGACAAACAATGAGCAATTTGAACGAGGGCGAAGAGAATCATCTCGAAGAAGAAGTCTGTATTGTTGAGGTAAGCATGTAGTATCTCGTCATTTGGCAAGGTTAATAAAACAGATAATACATTAGTTTCAACCGATTATTTATTGTGCAACGAGTGCAACGTTACTGCAACGTTAACTGCTGTCGCCAAAAAATATCATTTACTAACCATCTTGTCTCGAAAGGGCACCTTTCCTCGTCCATGGAAATAATTTACATAGTCATCTCGACTCTCAGAAGCTTCCTTTGCAGCTGTTGATAGGTAGGAGCCGCGAAGTTATGAAAACTCCTCTGAGGTTGATCATTTCTCCAATCACCTGCTTCAACGTTGCCGCTTTCAAAATCTTTCTTGTCCAGCATTGAGCTAGGCGAATACTTCGATCTATTGTTTGCCCGTAAATAATTGTAGAAAACCACGCAAGCTAACACAATAACATTTACTTTGGAAGGGCGAAGATTGATGGTTGTGTGATGAATGCGAAATCTGGATTCCAACACACCAAACGCGTTTTCCACACAGCTTCTTGCACGGGGGAGCCTGTAGTTGAAAATTTTCTTTTCGTACGTTAATTTTTCTCGAAGATAAGTTTTCAGTACATTTCTTTGAAGTGAAAAAGCCTCATCAGCAATAAACACAAAATTCAAATAAAATCGCGTCCCTCCTATCACCCATCCATCTGACACTCGTCCGTTGCAGCCGACATCCACCCCCTATTATGTACCCTATCAAAATTTTGAGTTGGTGGCGACCCTGAATTGGGAACCGCCTAGAACTCGGACCGCATGTAAATCAGCTTCTCTATGTCCGCTTCGGCTCGGCGTTTGAAGGGCAGCCTCTGGGCAGTTCTTTAGCTCGATATGACTTGTCTCGGCCTACTCTTCTCACACTCTGAGGCGACTATAAAGTCGGAAAGAAGATTCTGACCAGAAACTGATTACGATCGGATGGCCAAGCAGACCCAGAATGACTCTGCACCAATTAGTGTAACAACTATTCGGCCGAACCTTAGGCGGTCCCCGTATTTTGTTAGGGTGTGGAACCCTTCTTCTGCTGGTTTTACAATGCTCACGTGCTTTCCATCAATAGCACCTCCACAATTCGGAAAGTGCCACATTGTTTGAAATTCGTGTGCGATTTTCTGCCATTTCTCGCACGATGATGGGAACTGAAACAAAACACAATAGAATTTAGATTATTTTAAAAGTATTTCTTGGAGTGCATAGTACATTCTTCAACATCATTGCAGTAGCGAAGATAACAATACCTATCTATTTATATTTTCATTTCTTCTACAGGCCGAACCAAACGAAGATGTGAACAACGCCGACAATGAAAAATTATTGTACAGTGAATCTCAGACTTCGTCCACAAAGCGGAAAAGAATTTCGCCAAAGCGAACAAAACGTTTTAGTGTTGAGGAGGAAGTGCGCCAACGCAAAGCACTTTTAGAAAAGGCTTCTGCTGTACTAAATAGACCGGATGAATACGATGACCTAACCAAGACGTATGCAGCTAAATTTCGCCGCATGCCTGTTTCTCAAAGAGATATTGCTGACAAGTTGATTAATGACATCCTCTTAAAAGGGTTACAGAACACTTTGACAAATAACCATTTCATTTCTTTCTGTGGTTATTCAGCTGTTCCTTGGCATGAGAGAGATGCAGCGTCTTCTTATGTAACTACTACGTCAAATTGTTCAACCCCCCAACTTAAAATCAAGCCATGTTTCGATAGTCGTTTCGAATGAAATTTAGCAAATATATATGGCTGAATATTGGTCGATTGACAAGCCAATCTTTTGACTACATAGATCGTTTCCTACTTCGCTTTTTCACTCCCTCGAGCTCACTCAAAAACAATGGCAGCAGCGGCAACTTGCCTCGGATGACTCATCTCCACGACTGGGCGGCGCTGCGAGCAAAGTACGTCGGTCGATAGGTGTACGGAGAAATATCGCCGGATAAGATCCGATAGTCAGAATCAGCTAGCCGGACTGTACGCTAGTGTATGGGGCACTTTATTTATTGAAGTTGAACCATAAATAAATATATCCTATGCTTACCGCTGTGGTTTTTGTACTGCAAAGACAGTGGAGCGTGAAGAACTTTCCACGTGCGTTACCGTTAAGTTTCCCGGTAACAATAACTCAAGTTTTCCCCGGTCAAATAATCTAATTAGGCATACTTGTCGCGCACTTTATAAACACTTGAGTGCCCCAATTTCCTATAACTGTTGTAGTAAAAAGTTTACAGTTTTTTGTTATTGTGCATTGATTGCAAATCAGTAACTGGATAAAAAAACTCAAATTTTTATTTTTCAAACTAATGAAGTTATTGAATCATTAGTGCTTAGTAGAGCAAGTACGTATAAGTAGAATTGTACTCGCAATAAGTGATATTTTCCATTACTACATGGTCGTACTGATGTCTAACTTTGGTTATGCAATTTACCGATGCCCATGCCTATTGACGTTCGTAAATATTGCTATAACAGACACTAAATTGCTAAATTCTTGAAGCTCGTATAAGTAAGGCACTTATAAGCTAAGCCCATGATAGTTAGCTGCGTTTAATGTTCATTTTGTATAAGTATCAGATATAAACCTCGTATGTCATAAACTCGAAACTAACCAGGAAGCTAGTCTTACCTAAGTTAGGCTAAGTTATGTTTATTCGGTGTCAACGACATAATTTAGATTCCCATGATATCACCATATCAATTGTAAACATCGGCTTTAACCTTTCATGCTTGCGTGCTAACTTTGTCTTATATATTACTTGTCAGGAACTAAAAGTTAATGTTGAATGTTTCATGCGATTAAGAAAATTGATCCCTCATATCTACTTTGTTGAAATAACTAAGGAAGCATTTTAATGCATTACCAACTCCTATTGCTGCTATAACTCGATTCATCGCTATTATCAATTTCACATATGTATTAAGTCGGATACATATGTGATGTGAGTGACTCAGCGAATTATAAAGACGAATTCTCAATAGGTATCATTTGAAATGTCGTATAGCGAAATAATCAAATTCAAACGCGCACAATAAATACGTGTATTGTTCGAAATACAAAATTAAATATGTGAAATTCTTGATTAAGCTAAATTGCACGATTAATGGCAGTGAAATTAAATACTTGCAAAACTTAATTTTGGTTACGAATTGCTAAATTCTTGACATAAGTTAAGTTAAGGCTCTTATCTTATAGGCTTATAAGTTAAGGCTCGTAAGGCTCTTAAAAGTTAAGCCCAAGTTATAGTCAGTTGAGTTTAATATTCATTTTTTGTAAGTCGTCAGGTTTTGTATGTCAGGACTTGAGGTCAGGCATCTAGCTGATGTAATGAATTTTTGTTTTAGGATTTTGATATAGTGAGGCTAATCTTAGTATTATCTCTTGCCTTGTCATAAATCAATGCCCTTCAAATGATCTCTTTCATTACTACCACTGACCTGGGCCCATACTTTAAAAATTCGCTAAGTGAAAGTAAGTATTTGCGTGCGCTCTATTTTCTTGTCTACGATTGGTGGATTTTGCTTGAAAGGCCGTCAATGATTGGCTGATGAACTTACGATCTCTTAACTGTTTTTAAAAGAGTGGCTTGAAAGGCCGTCAATGATTGGCTGATGAACTTACGATCTCTTAACTTTTGAAAGTATAGGCCCAGCTCTATTGCCCCGTTCATCTGTAATCCTCTGCTGCCACTCTCACTTTGTGAATATATTATGTTAAGGAATCCCATATGAGCCCGCCAAGCCTGTGAGGCCTCGCAGTTGTGAATCTGGGCCTATTTTTTAAAAAAGTTAAGAGATCGTAAGTTCATCAGCCTTGACGGCCTTCGAGCAAAATCAACCAATCATAGACAAGAAAATAGTGCGTAAGTACTTACGTTCACTTAGCGAGTATTGAAAGTATTGCCCCGGGACCTTAACACAACTCCGAGTGACACATTTTATCCAAACACAAGAAACTGGAACCAAACAATAGAATGTAAATTGGATTACTTGAACGTTTTTAATACATAGATAATGCATCTCCATGACCACAGTAACGTAAATCAGCGAACGTATTAATTAGCATTTGTTTCCATTCTATAGGCCAAACCGGACAATGATGTGTAAAACTTTGGCAATGAAGTAACATGAAAAATCGATTCTAAGTTAACATCCCTCCAAAAGTAGAAAAATTCCGCCTCTATTCTACAACTCAGGAAAAAATGAAGCGCATGTTTCAATGTGAAGAGCACATTTAATTCCAATATCAATTGTTATTATGAACTTTTAAGTTCAATACAAATACGTTCAAATGACCATAATCATCAAATAAACTATAAAAGTGGTCTGTTAATATTGTGCAGTATTCCTACCAAGCAGGTCTCTGGTATTGTTCTGTCAAATACCTCGGTGATAAGGTAGTAGGGATTTACCACAATCCAGTATGGCTAACCAGGGATTTACCTCAATCAGTCAGATGCATCTAACCCAAGGAAACTTTTGGAAAATTTTTCAATTCCATTTACTGTCGATGGATTCCGATGGAACTGGAAAATAACTTTCAGGTTTGTAAATGTTCTTCGGGTTGAATTCTCCAAGCCAATACTGTAGGATAATAAGTTCGGCGTTTTCTTACCGTTGTACTGTTTTCTGTCGAGAGGTTTGTAAGCATTAGATGAATAGAAATTGAATTATAATATCACAAAATGTTAACTTCTCTTTTCAAGAGGAAATCTGACCAATTACAGCGAAGACTGTAAAGCTTTCATTAATTGTAAGTTAATGTTGGTTATTTTCAAGACTGAAAACACTACGAATAAGAAAAATTAATAATTAGTAAATTAAAGAAAAGAACTTGATATGAACGGGAAATACATGGTTGCAAACCATGACATCATGCTCTGCATTACCTACTAAACTACTTAACACTTCGAGCAAAAACGAGACCAGAACGTCTGTGTTTTGCACATGATGCGCAATTGAAGGAAATCATCCTACACTTCAGGAGGCGTTAAAACATAGAGAGAATCACCATACTTGAAAACAATTTTACAATTGATATGAAAACAATTTTACAATTACACACAAACAACTATACTCCATGAAAGCCAATAAAAACCTAATTTAACCCTGCTATGAGTTGCAAAGATCAGTTTTATGGTTCTGTAAATTAAAGACACGCGTATTTAATAACCATTTTCAAAATATTAACCGAAGAAGCCGTAATTCTTTATGTAAGTATTATTGCACCACATATTGCACGTCCTGTATAACGAGCTCCCTTATTCTTTAGTCGTAATTAAATTCTTATTTGATGTGCAATGATCAGTTCTATGGCAAATGACAGAAGCATTTCAAGTACTAATTCAATATTTATCCTACAATATTGAATATCAAACAATTCTGCTGATACGCGAACGACACTCGTGCCAAAAATTACTAGACATAATTTTGATCACAAAGGATTTTAGAAATAAATTCCCAATTACTTTCAGTTTTCTGCAAGAACTCTAGCTTTTAGCTTTACAAAAAATCCACTTTTAGTAAACTCCAAAAGCATTAGTGGGTTTCTTGAGGAGTATGGATTTAACATATAAATTTACATTACACGACCGGAGATTGGTAAAAGTAATATTCGAAATAAACTCTTGACGATATTACTTACTTTAAGCTAGTTAAGCAAGCGGTGAATATAAGATGGAAGCAATAGGGAGTTCACATTGCAACAATTATACAGTATGAAATAGTTAAACAGTACAAAACCGTTACACAGTACGAAACCGTTATAGGTACCATAAGAACTGTTTCGCCTTACAAAACCGTAAACAATACGAAACCGTTCCATAGCAATTCTATAGAAAGAAATAAATGTTGGAAATAGCCTCACCATCTTCCCTAATTTCTAAAAATCAGTCATTTTAGTAAAATTTCTATCAACAAGTGTTCATAACGATAATAAGAAAGTATTACTTAAAAAATTCTTTTGGAGAAAAAAATAGCACGCAGTCGTAGATGATATACACCATTTTACACGAACATAATTTAGCAATAAGCCTGGGGGACACTGTGAGCATTTGTTCGTATTTATTATACAAGAGAAAATTCAAACAAACAGAGAAGCATCAATAGATTCCGACAAATTATTATAGGATACTAGAAAATAATTAAACCACACATCTGATCAATTAATTTGAATAGCTATAAAAAGGTAGCGCAATAGTTTTTCTCCTATAAAGAAGAAGAAGAATTATCGAAAAGTCTTACCAGGCCAATTTTTCTTGGCCAGCAAAGTCGCACAGTTCGTCCAACTACACGGCTGACAATTAACATATAAGGATGTCATATTATACAAATTTGCCCTTGAAGGGTGGGCCAAGTACCATCAATATAATAAAAAAGATATGACACACCAATGAACTTCAGATGACGTGCCCATTTAGAAGAATCACTAAACTAAACCATAACTTCAAATACAGAAACCGATGATGCCGCATCAAATTGTGCTCGTATCACAGGATTTGAGAATGAAAGTTAAATCTCCCGTCAGGTCCTGCGAACTTCAAAAACATAGCATAGTACATACTGGAATGTATAGCATAGCAGTCTTCAGTCATCTAGTATTGCATTTCACCATATAGCAAAGTATAACAAATCACGATGTAGATTTGCGTAGAATTTGACTATGTAACGTACTGTATATGCAGCACTGAAAACATGCCTTCGACAACAATGCTTTGTACATGTTCACAAGGCATAGCCTTCGATCATATAACACAGCTGTAAGAGTATATATACGAAATAGAAAATTCATCACAATATACACGTAAATTTTTTAATCATTAACTCACAACAGGAAAATTGAACTGAAGCTTTAGTAAGAATAACTCTAAAGAGATTTTATAGCTGGTTCGTACATCGTATGAATTATATTTTTTTTGTTTGCATAACCTAATTTTTCTCTGCTTCAAGTATGTTATTTTACAGTACATAAAAAATTAATAAAACGCTTAATAGAATATTATAAATGTTTTCGGCGAGCTGCGTGGATTATATCTAAGTAAACTTTTTCTATTTCGTTGAAACAAAAATGAACAGAAAAATCGTCGAGTGCTCAGAATGAAGAAAAATAAAGTCTACTAAAAAGAGTTTAAAATAAGTATAAGATGACCCGAAATTCTAGTCATGAATAATCACAAAATTTCAAACCTAGAAGCGTTGTTATCCGTGGATAGATAGTGACAGAAAATCCTCTGAATTATGCAAAGGATAGAAAAAGCACGAAATTTGAATTTCGCTGTTGAATGTCTGCTGCATATTGAAGACTCACAGAACAATATTCGCAAAGCTAAAGCGACCAAGGATCGACGAAATATATAATTAATCAGAATACGAAAATCAGCTAAACTTCATTTTCAGGCTAAAGTACATATTCTTTATACGAAGTTAAGTTGCAGATGTAATTTTTCACTTGCACAAACTTCCAGGAAAAATCACATTACTTATTGAGGATTGGGTCAATGCAACCAGAATTCTCGTTGCATTGTGACGTATCCGGCCTAAAGACATGTTCAACCCGGTAGAACTAGATACCAAAAGAACTAGGCTACCAAAACAATTGGTTAAACAAAAAATATTCAATAAATTATATTGTTATTTAAAGGCAAGGGCACGCACATGAACGACCTGTCGAATATTACGATCAAGAAGAAAGCTTCAGGTCCAATATATAGAAGAGACGCATTCTAAACATCACCATCAAAAACTTCGTTCCTAATTATACAGCTAAGCTATAACAACGTGGAAGAAATATATCTTCCCTCTACTTATTTATACTTGATATAAGCGATGCTGAAAGACGATCAACGGTCTAATGCTAACATGCAACACTACAAAAAATCTACTGAATTAGAATCTAAGTTAAGAAATTATTTCACAGGATCTTATTGCTACTTTTATAACTTATAGAAAGTACTTATAACTTTCTTCTTTAATAATTATGTATTAAAAAAGAACAGCAATTACTTAACAACAAAACATGCAGACTTCGCAGCACTCGCTACTCGAGACCGCCTATACGAGCCGCCTAGCTGGCTTGATGCAAGAGTATTGTTCGGAAGTAGCGGCAGACAGACAGTTGACGTAAAAATAACGTTGATCAAACGTTGTTTCGACGGAATTTACTCGTAATGAACATTGTTTCAACGGCATTAACCTACGAGACAAAAGCTTATAAGAGTCAAAACGCGCAGCTTCTTGGCTTCTCGAGACCAACAAGGCTGAGTAATTAGGATTAGCATCAAATGCCCAGTGGTAATACTGAAGCCGAAGTCGTGCAATTATTATTCATAAATTTGCAGGCCCAGAGAAAGAGGAAGGTAGAAGTGTTAGTTTCGCTCTACTTTCGCTATGTGTTACAGAAGTGTTTGAAAATTCTAAATATTTTGCACTACACATTATCTGCAAAATATTATTAAGAGATGAAGAGAAGTAAAGGTCTTACGTCATAAGGAAGAACGTTCATCAAAGGCTGGTGAATACAATGCAAACATCAGACATTTGTATTCCTTGTTAAGCAATACTAAGAGGTCTTCTATACGTTCTTTTAAAACCCGAGACTAATCCATTCACACCTCTTATACAATATATAAGCTCCATACATCGAGTCAACTGATCGTCCCGCTACATGTAAAATATAATAAAGACATGATGGAATAGCTCACTTACAGACGGTACCAAATAAACATTGTCATTCCTCCGACTAGAATCACTAGATAATCCAATGACATTAACACCAAGGATTTAACTAATAACGGTGAGTGACGCATATCAGCGAGTCAAGTAATAAGGTTTCTCTCATTCACACGAAGCATTGAGCTAATAAAAGTGACTCATGCATATAATCACGTTTAATTGTTGAAACGTTTCAACCGTTCAACGATTATATTTTTTCAGCAAAATGAGTATTTTTAGTTACGATGTGCTCGAGAAAAGCGAGGATATCCAACGAAGCGAGAGTTATTACAGGCATGGAGAAATCCAGGCGGTCACTCCGCTTTAGTTAGTGCAGGGTAAGTAAGATATCAGAAAGCAATATGAATGGACAAAACTCACAATCCAAGTTCAACCTTTTCTCGCTGAACATTCTAACGGAACGCTATTGGTTCATAATAAGAAAAATTTAGATATTCTTAAAAACAAGAATAATTATTCAATATATTTATAAATCGACCTCTGTGAAAAGTGAATTATGATAAAGCCCGCCATTTTTCTGGCTTTACTATATTTCACTTCATCTAAACACTCGGAAACAAATACTATTATGAAAGTTAGGATTATTGAGCATTGATAAAATTTATCAACTGGCCCTCATCTTATTATCCAGTTTTGAGATCAAGCCCATCGTTATGAACTGTTAACAAATATTAGTCATTTTATTTAGGAAAATTTCTAGACAGCGAATGTAGAATGCACTATCATCTTCAACATTAAAACCAATTAGTCGCCGAGTGATTATCCCTGAAAAATAACAAGTTTATGAAATAGAGGTATCAGAGAATCTCATCTCGCAACTGGGCTTTTATTGTGCGACAGGAATTTATCAAGCGACAACTGTTATGCAGGTTCGATGCTCAGGAAAGTCGTCTCCAAGATATTTTAGCACCTGTCGCACCACATAATTAGAATTGATGTGCGTCATGCGAAAAGATTATCTTTTTAGTGGAGACGATCTCACTCTCGGGCAAGCCGCCTTCAGAGATTATCCTATTCAATACTAATTAATCCCATCCAAAGACACAATATTGTTGCAGGAGCCCAACTGCAGATGGGCCACTGCAGAGCGGTAGGGGCGAGAGAGCATGGCTTCTGTGGAGAGCGATCGGTGGTGCGAGGACAGCCAACTGTCCATTATTCTTGGTGGCCTCATTAGTGGACGTCGTCGTTGTAAATGCTTTGAATTTACAACCTTTGTGGATTCTTCAAAATGTTCCTGAACTCTAAAAAGTAATAAATATGCAGAGAGCAGTTTTAGGGAAGAAATTTCGTTGTTTTCGTAACGGAGGCTAACGCAATGGAAGTAACAATACAAAGATAAAAGTTTTCAATGATCATGGAAATACCAGGACGGCGGGCAAGCGTCCATTGAATGGTATGATAATCAAATCTGAAAACTTTAAAAATCGTTCTGCCATGAAACTTGATCGAAGCAATTACTGCTGTCAAGGACTCCATCACAAAGCAGGATTGTGTAACTCCTGATGAACCATCAGCTGCACTCGTAGACGTGCAAGGTGATTACACCCGCGGTTACGGTCCTATCATGTTAACTGCCTGCCGTCCATCCAGCAGCGGTCATTGAAAGGGTTCAGGACCAGCAGCGGTCATGGAATGGGTTCAGGTCCCGCAGTAGTCATGGGATGGATTCAGGACCAGCAGCAGTCATGAGATGGGTTCAGGTCCAGCAGCAGTCATGGAATGGGTTCAGGACCAGCAGCGGTCATGGAATGGGTTCAGGAACATCAGCAGTCATGAGATGGGTTCAGGACCAGCAGCAGTCATGGAATGGGTTCAGGACCAGCAGCGGTCATGGAATGGGTTCAGGAACATCAGCAGTCACGAGATGGGTTCAGTAGTGCCAGGACATATAGCCATCTTCGGACGTAGGACGAGTTGAGGATGGCAACCGAGGGTAGGAATGTCAGCGAACATCACAAGAACTTACATCACGGCACAGAAAGGAGTCTTTCCATTAGATTGGATTTCCTGAAAAGATAAAGTACTGATTAGAATTCAACTTTAAAAACGTTTCATATGTGTGCGAAGGGAATTATTTTTGACGATTAGTTTGCAACCAAAATCTAAAATCTTTACTGCCACATAAAATCGATACAACTTATTTACATTTACTCTCATGATTAATTTCAAGTCAATCTCAAATTTAATCTAGAACAAGTCTTATCATAAAGCTCACTTATTGATAAAAGATCTGCATCGACATATAGACACAAAAAATTAATCAAACCACACAATAGGATGAATAGGTCAAACAAATCTTAGTTAACAGAAGAATTTTCAATTCTAATTAGCATTTCAGAAATAAACAGGTGAGGCAAATGCTTACTGTGCATCAACTACTAACAAGACAACAGCATGCAATATCAGACAACACGACGTGCATGTTAATAAAAGAAATTGATCCTAAGAAACTAAACATGAATAGCGCCTCCAAAGATATTGAAATAGATTATTTTAACCTTATTTATTTTTAGATGAAACATGTTGATGCCGATCTCATTAACAGCTTTCCAATAAAAATCAAAACTCTGATAGCACGCGAGAAATCTAACTATGAAACCAAGGATCAAAGACGCAAAATATCAAGTTTAGATCAATTTCTCATGACGAAATATTTATGCCTATTCGTTTACTGCTATCAATGAAAACTTTCCGGGAAGAATATTTTTTTCTATAAATTGATTTTCGAACAAAACCGTCATGATGTTTCAAGACCGTCAAAAAGTTTGCTGACACCTAGTGATTAAAAATATTAAAATCTTTAAAGTAACTGGGCGAAACGGTGAGCTACCGATGATAGACCATGACCATGCTAGACCGAAAATGATTTTAATGTCATCTCGCCGCCTAGCAATGTGAAAATGGAAGCTGCTGTGAGTAAATGCTAAATACAGTCTACATTCACAGATAGCCAGCTCCTCTTCTGAGATGAATTGCAATAAATGTCTACAGAAGATAAAAAGATGGGTCGAATTTTTGATTGAACAAAGAAAAATTTCTGAAATTACGACTTTCCATTATTTTTTTGATCAATCTAAAAATTCACCGATTTTTGGTAAGCAAGAAGACTGAATGAGCAAACAATTTTATTAACAGCTCCCAATTTTAGTTAACCAATGCATTATAACTTCCGTGAAAATAAGTATATTTAAAAAATTGAAGCAGAATTCGCAGATTCAGCCCCGCGGGCCAACCACCTTACGTACGCAATTCTATTCGTACCCAAAGCAAGTGCACGACATGTGAACTCAAATTCTTCAAATTTCTTTCGTGAAAACATTCGTGAAAAAATATTCGCAATCGTAGGGAGTTAACTAGGTGAATAGGATCAATTTAAATTAAAGAAGATTGCGAAAATTGGCCCCTTAAACTAATAAATGTCAAGTAAGGGAATACGAAATCCTAATTGAATCAACCATGGAATGTTTCATCTTCTAGGTAACATTTCTAGCACCCGACTGTTGCTGGGCAATGCAAATTTTTGAAATTTTTTTCACATTTTGTAAATTTTATTAAACGTTTTGTAAATTTTACAAAAAATCATAAAAGATTACGTTACGTTTCAATAAATATTTGAAACATTTTTTCCACGTTATGCAAATTTTCTCAAATATTTATTATTAATAATATGATACATGCAGGAAAACCGTTAAGATGTAAGCTGAGCAGCAAATTGATTATCTTATCACACGCTCTACAATACATTCCAGTAATTCAACTTGTCACTACAACACACGGAAGCGATCGAGACAGCGACTTTCAAAGCCAGGATACTGGAGCGGTGATTGCTAGGCCTTACCTAGCAAATAAGCTACACCCTCGCATGCTTTGTAACCCTTCAATGACCAACATCAGGCTAAAAATCTCATGTATTTAAACGTCATTTCAATGGAACGTTCATGTCTTAGCTGCAGAATATTTTTTGTTCGAAGCCTTCAGATTCTGGAAAAAATTTATTCAGATGGCAAAAGTTACAGAGTATTTTTCGGAAGTTGGTCGTTATAGGGTTAGTCGTTAGTCGAATAGATTGGTCATAAGCAGAAGACCCCCACCTGTATATTATTTTATGAAAATTCAAATATTGATAGTAACCAATTATTTACAGTTCGTTCGAAGCGTTACTGACATTGAATCACTACGGTTGTTACGAGCATAACATCTCACCTAGCGGAATGACGGTTTTCAATGATGACGTCGGGCGAATAACGCCTTGCAAGGGGGAAATATCAAATGACTCACCATCCCCGTCACAGCGTTAACATATTCAATTTCTTCCAAAGATTGTGGGCTTAAAATTTCTTGCCAGCCGGCACATGAAAATTTAGAGGTTATCATGTAAACTTCACTTTTTGGTTGACCACATAAAAATTAGAAAAATTAAAATTTAAGAGGTTAGCTTATGAACTTCACTTGATGGCATTACAAAGAAATTAAAAAGAAATCGTTGACTTTGCACGAGGCTCTAGTCTTGAAATTTCCGTGGCCAAGAAATAAACATGTTATGTATACATATAACTTATATAATTAGTCGGTATAGATAACAAATTCACTAAGAAGAATTGCATGTTAATCGAACTCGTTTTCTCGTTCGTGTACACTACGATTTTCCCTGGTGATTGAATTTGTATTCTAAATATTTTTTTAACTGATGGTAGAGCTCGCCACCGAAACGTTTAAATGAAGATATTGTAAATTTCCTTGGCATTGTCTTCGTCTCTGCCTTCTTAGAGATTACTTTAAAGAAGCACCATAAAACATATTTTGTAGTGTCATTTGTGGAACTAAAAAATTTATCTTGGCATTTGAAATAAAGATTTTGGAGCATCGACTGTGTAAATTACCACAGTTAAAAAAAGTTGCTGGGAGTTCCCAATAGAACTGCTGCTATTAAATGAAATTGTTGGGTGAGAGGTTTCCGGATGCCCGTTTTACAAGCGAGCAATTAATACAAGGAAAGACCTTACAAAGCATTACAAGGCAAGTACCCAACAAGATGATCGTAACGAACAGTTCTCAAGGAGTGAGATCGCTGCACTGCGACACTGATGTGGAGAATCTTGCTTAGACCAGACGTGAAGATTCTTTAGGAGCGCTCAGACCAGACGTGGAGATTCTTTAGGAGCGCTCAGACCAGACGTGGAGATTCTTTAGGAGTGCTTAGACCAGACGTGGAGATTCTTTAGAAGCGCTTAGACAAGACGTGGAGATTCTTTAGAAGCGCTTAGACCAGACTAGGAGATTCAGCGCTTAGACCAGACGTGGAGATTCTTTAGGTGCGCTTAGACCAGAAGTGGAGATTCTTTAAGAGCGCTTAGACCAGATGTGGAGATTCTTTAGAAGTACTTAGACCAGACGTGGAGATTCAAAAGCGTTTAGTCCCTGACGTGGAGATCTGCTTTTTCTTATGTGCAATGTTAACCAGCAATATTGACTTTATTCTCCGTAAAAAGTATGCTTGGTATTGAACGGAAACTAAATTATGCGAGTGTAAGAAGCTAAAATGAGCCCTAAGAAAGACATGAAATGAATAATTGGAATTGAGAGCATGAACAATCAGTCAATCACAAAGGGCGATAGAAAAAAGTATAAAGCTGTGTATCGAGATCAAATAGTTTCTTCTCAAAGTATGCAACGAAATTAGTTATCTTATTCAAAAGTAAGTTGTTCCTCTCAATCCTGTGTAATATAAAAATATTTAGAAAAGCCACCTAATATAAATTTCAACTTCCACTTACATTGAATCTATCATACAACACAGTCAGGCAGCTGGCAATGGTAAATTTTGAAAGTCTGGCCAATAATACCTTACCCGTTGGCTTATTCAAAAATTTCTGTATGTTAGGCAAAATATTTTAATAAAACGTTAAAAACCTAAAAAATTTGTCGGCAAGGATCAGGCAACATAGACAAGAAAACGAGAGGTATAAAAGTATTGTTCCAAGCGAGGCCTTTCTCTTGAATTGCTAAGACTCGTTATTAAATTAATATTATTGCTTCAAATAATTTTAATTATCGGTACAGGAAAAATGTATGGCTATTGCGATAAATTATAGTGCGTCATTTCGGCACAACGGCCTTAAAGTCAGCGAAATTTCGGTGAAATAACGTAAAATGACATTAAAACATTGCAAATAGGCACATAAATTTATTGCATTCCAATGCAGCAATTAACAGGTGATAATTAACTCTAAAATATCTATAGACTAATCAACGGTTATCAACAACAAGACAAATGGAGATATGACATCAGTACAGGAAGGAATCGCTTGTGATGCCTTCACAGGCCAACTATTAACTAACGCTTCATCGCCAAGCCTCTAGTATTAAATATCGATATTTTTCATCTACGAAAATCTACGAATATCATATAGGAATACAAGTTGAACTTCTCTTTAGGCGATACTCGGGAATAATTCGGTAATATTAACAGAGAAGAGATAAATTGTGGTTAGTATTAACTTTCGCGTAAACATACATTAGGGGCTTCGCCAAAGGTATGAACAAATTTAGTTTGGACTGATTAATTAAGTCCAGGCCCGGGAAACAGAATCCTATGTAAAATAAACAAAACATTTTTAGGAATAGCAATTAATTAATTAATTTAGTCCAGGGACGGTAAATAGCATCCGATGCAAAACGAAACAAAATATTTTTTTTAGGAATACGAACTACTTAGCAATAACGTGAAACTCTTATGGAAATGGTACTAAGCCACAGATATCTGAACGGCGTCGCCGCGCGCGATGCCTTTTAACCCTCTACCGCCTGACACGAGTAACAGGAGCAATATTGTCACAAGCCTACTTCCCAAAAAGGATACGTTCTAGTGAGCGCAAAATGACTTGCACTGATGGTTGCCGCCACGTACAACTTTAAAATGTTCTCTGCTGCGTACAAACGTCCTCAGGTTGCTACACTCAATAGTTTACATGTAATTTAGGTTAAAAGTTATGTTCTCGTAGAGTGACGTACTGCGGTAGAGGGTTAACACCCAATAGAAGTATTGTACTATATATGAATCGCGACAATACAGTTATAGGCATCAGACTATGTTGACTATGTTGACACCATAAACAGATTACGAAAATAGATATACGCGAGCTGAAAAACTGCATTTATCGAGAGAAACATAAGCAAAATTGTATATCTTATACTCAAGACTTTTCATCTTAAAATGTACGTGTCTAGAACGTAGTTCTAGAGAGCATTACGATCATCGAACGGGAAACGTGTCACTTAACTGAGACAGACTCGTAGCATATGTTACGTAATAAAATTTTTTGAATACAAATGTAAGTTTGCTAATACTTTTTAATAAAACGAGATTGAAATGAAGGCGCACAGAGAATTTAACTGTGTTCACGAGTACATAGTCTGGTCTAAAAATTCTTTGTACGCAGACCGACATGTAAGCAAACCCGATTAATTTTACAATTATTTTTTTAATGTTTGATTAATTAATTACATTCAGGAGCGTAATTCATGTTTTCAGTTGTTCGGTCAAAATTATAACTCGTTTAAGTAATTATATAAACATTAGTTAAGGACATGATGTATTTCCTGAAAACTTGCGTTCGCGGAAGACTAAAATTGGCGGCGTTTCGATAATGTTCAGCCGAAGGCAGGATAAACTGTCAGCATTTGACACACATTTTGGCAGCATTTCTGTTCCTTAATTCAAAGGACTGCAGAAACCTGAATAATATAAAAAGATAACAGATTGCATTTCTTCGTAACACACAGAAGCCAGAAGAAGTAAAAACCATTCCAGAATTGGCTAAAGAAAAATTTTACTATTTAATCTATACTATAGAAAAATTCAAGTTTGAACATTTTATTTAGTTTACATTAAGTATTTATTAAAAATTATGCATAAACAACTGATCAGGTATCAAGGACCATGAAAAATCCTCAGCTATAGTAATGTAGCTTGGCTAAATAAGAACGTAGCAATAATGCAAATTTGTTCGTAATGTTATTCTGACGCTTGCATAACAAATGGAAAACGTACCCATGCATTTTGATGAGGATACGAATATATAAATTTATAAGTTACAGATAAGATGAAATTGAAGTGCTACAAATTCTCAACTATTCAATACAATTTAAGCCTCCACATCCAAATCATCAACGTAATTATAGCTTCAGTTGACCGGCTTGTCTCATCTCTTCCTGGGCCTTCACATGTATTTTTCCACAAAAACTTCGGCATTTCTCGCAGTAAAAATTAGTTTGTTATCTAACTTTTGAATTGCACTTACATTCTTCATTATTTTGCCAAGCTCAAAAACATGATCGAGTATCACAATATTCGTGACGGACGATACGAGCATTTAATTCCGAAACGATCTAATTTGGAAAATAACTACGGATTTACCGAAATCTAAGTTTGAATTAATAAAAATCATTTGGTTACATGCGATCTATTAATTTAATTAATCAACCTTTTAGAGGTTTTGATCGCATCTCAAGTATTCAGCGATTTTAGCTGATAACTTTGCTTTGGCATCTGAACGTCGTTCTCGTACTTACATATATTTATAGCTTATAAATGTTCATGTTTAGCTTTTCTAGTCATTCTAGCCCATATTACGACATTTATGATTCCTGAGAAAGCAAAGAACAAAATTCCTGGGAATGAGAACAAGTCGGGAAGGAAACGACGGATTGTGAAGCGTATTGGGTTTTTGAACCAAGATCGAGCTTTTATTTGATCTAGAATATGTTTCAAATATGCACATAAAATGGAACTCGATTCCTGGCATGGCATTTAACTTTGAGATTCCGACTGTGCATTGCTATCGTCGACCGTGATCTCAAAAATCTTGAAATAAAAAAAATTAGAAATGGTGAAGAATAAGCTGCCCAAAATTGAGAGTACAAGAAATTCGTCTAGTAAAACTTTAACGTGATGCAGTACTGTGAGGCCAGTGTTCAAACTTAAAAAAAGTGACTTGCCCAAAAAGATTTAGGTTTTATTAACAATTAGCAATGAAGGCAAACGTAGCCCATTACTTAATATTGCATCTTCCGAGATCGTCGATCGGTCTCGGTAGCTTGTAGTAAAGATTCAAATATAATATAATAATATAAATTTTAAAGATTCTTCTCATTTAATACACGGACTTAGAGATAACAAGCATACCCATGAGAACTATCAGTAGCCGGGTAGTCAATTGGAAATAAATGTAAATAAACTACCCGTACATGGGAAATAGATGTATATATACCACCAGTAAATTGAAAATAGATCTTTTACTGAAACCCGAACGACTAGCAATGGCAGTACGTGCGCTTGATTCTCAAATCTCAAGAAGGTCACAAGTCAACATAAAAAGATAAGAATATATTGTTCAATATTGATAAAAGATAAAACTGCATGAAACACAAACCCGATGGAACAAAAAACACAGACGAGCCACGAAACCAAAAATAAACTTGCAAGATATCATATAGTGTTCTGGAATAATATCACGTCACAAATAACGTTCAAAAGAACTTTGAACATCAGTCGGGTATGCTCAAAAGTAGAACAATCAACAAAATAACGAAGATAAATATATAAAATCGAGCAGATTCAAAGAAGTATTTATAGAACTAGCAGACATCCAAGTATATAATTATAGAAGTAGAACTCGTCATAGTTTTGATATATAATTATTGGCACTTGACGATGATGTTTACCCAGTCTAACCGACCTCCTCATCATCATCATCGATGATGCCCTGTGCCGCTAGCTCCTGTCATCTGGCGGCTAGTGTAGACACTCGTACTGGACGCACAGGCTTGTTGTCCAGTATGCGCTCCAGCTCTCCTAGCACCTCGCTGGTCAACTTCGGCACCACCTGTTGTATAATAATAATAATAATAATACTATTAATAATAATAATAATATAATAATAGCGGCAGTGTGCGCTCCAGTACTCCTAGCACCTCGCTGGTCAACTTCGGCACAACCTGTTGGACACGTGCAATCAGAGACATGAGTGGGACTTAGTCCGAATTGTGATACATATTTTGCCCTTGTAGGGATCATTCTGACCTCATTCGTGCATCATTATGTCCATATTTCCCCCAATCATTCCACACTGTCTGTGGATATTTCTGATCATACTTTATGATCAAACAGAAATGTGTATCGCTATTTGGACAATATGACACATATATTTATTTGAGTGTAAGACACGCTAACAGCGCGCGTACGCGCGGCTAAAATACTATGGCTTTGAGCAGGAATATTTGTGTTCGATAATAACGAAAAACACCTGGTTCGAAAACTATTAATATTTCTATTGATAAGTCCAGTAAATTCGTATAGGAATAATGCAAGGTTCGCATCCTCTTGTAGCTCAGTGAGGGCGTCAGTTGGAATTGGAATTGGGGTGCGTGGTGACCTCCGGTCACGACCTTTATATCGGTCATACACGTTGCCTAAAAACTTTTACTAGCATCAAAAAATTAAAATTTCATAAAACAAGGTGCTAAAACAATTCGGCACGGTCATATATGTCTTCCCACCCTCCCCTCTCTCAACCCTCCATTCCTCAAGACTCCACTCTTATCATCCTCCTCCTCTCCCTCATCCTCCACACGTTTTCCAAATATCTCTTCACACTCTCAAACATAGCCGCAGTTGCTCCCTCAGACAGACCCGTAATTAAGCAGCAATGTTCTCAATTTATTTTTGAATTTATTTACTACCCAATACAATATTTGATATCCTAATAGAAAAAATGAGAATTAAAGGTACCCCTGAGAATTCAAAGGTACCTGAAGCGCAGCAATGTTCTCGAGGAGCTGGTTGACAGAGGCGCCCCCCACGAGGGCGCAGTGGAGGTTCTCGTTCTTAAGAGTCCAAGCGACTGAGAGCTGCGAGATGGTGCAGCCCAGCCGCTCTGCCAGCGACCCGAGCTCCCGCAGCCGCGACTGATGGCGCCGCGCGTCGTCGCCGCTGCTGCTTTTGTCCTTAAGCCACGTGTACCCATGCTGAGGTGGGTCATAAGGAGGTATAAGGTGGGTCAGGCACGTGTACCCATGCTGAGGTGGGTCATAAGGAGATATAAAGGGGGTCAGGCACGTGTACCCATGCTAGGGTGGGTTATAAGGAAATAAAAGATGGGTTGGGCACGTGTACCCTACTGGGGTAGGTCATAAGTATACGGAGTTAATATGTGGGTCAGTCATGTGTACCTTATGCTGAGGAATAAATAATAAAAACTCATTTCCGGGTGAAAAAAAGAGAGAGCTACACGTGAAGGCAGGCGTGCTGCTTCTTCCTCAAGTTCTGCTCCAGTATTCAGCAGTTGCCGAGAAATCCAACAAACCGTAACGATGAAGAGCGAAAATTCAACACATAATTATAATGCAAGGTAAGTTATAAATAAGGTTCTAATGTAGAATTACAGAAGATTACAACAACAGGGAACTCGGGAAATCAGCTGCAGAAAATGACATTAAAAACGCTTAAAATTTCCAAGAAAAGAATCGAATGCACATCTTTACTTATTTCCGGGGAACAATATTGAAATGCTGAGTTGAGACGTTCTCATATAACGGGGAACATTATATTAAGATCTAAAATAGCAAACGTTTGAAATTTTTAATGACTGATTAGCTCAAGTCAAACTTCCACCACACAACAACTACAGCAACTACATGCTGATTACGCGACAACAATGTTTGTTTTTCACGTAGGGCAGCTGTTTTAAGACTATAGGGAATCGACTATTATAAACGAGAGGAAATTCTAATTTTAAAGAAAATAAGCCAATTGCCAGAGACCACGCCCATAAAATTAGATGGTCTACTTCATGCATTGACTATCTTAACATTTATAAAGCAACAATTTGCACTAGTGCATTTATGATTTAAAAGCTCTTATTTGTTAGGTCAATGAAACTTTACTTCAAGGACGTTTTGATCATTAAAAAACATTGTACCTTGCAAGCCCAACACATTGAATATAGGTAATACAATTAATACATCTACTTTAGGTTGATATTCATTTCCGTTAATATTAGTACACGACATTGGTATGAACATCGAGAAGCAAAATAGAACATCGATAAGCATTACATACAACATAAACATTCCACGTAGACACGGCAACTCACGAAGCTAGGGATAGGATTACAAAAAATGTTGGACGAGAAGCCAACATGTCGCTACACAGCAGAAAAAGTGAGGTGCAGTCCGCGGAGGTTGTTAATTTTCAGCAAAAACTTAAAGGCCATTCGAGTTTGGTAACTCACAATAGTTTAAAATATATATTGTTACTACTGGAATTTTAGCTTCATGAGTGTATCTCATTTTGATGGTTATTCGCAATTAATTGTGAATATGATAGTTATTCGTCAAAATTCAACATTATTATTATCGCGAAAATTAGGAATAGAAAAGGGTTTTCTATGCTCTCTATGGTATGAAACACTTTATCACATATCACGAGTATGAAAGTATCCGTGTTATAAAATAAGTACAACCGTTGTCCTGTAATCCTCAAACTAAAAAAACGTTTTAACTACAAGGAAAAATTATTTAACTTAAATATTATCCTCGAATGAGATTGACCGCTATGTTTAATTAGGGGGATCAGAAATACTTAATTTTTTTTATGCGGAGCTCAGGTATGCCCACCTCGGATCGACTACCAACACCATAATAATAAAACCAATAACATCTTTCATGATTGAATCTGTTACTATTTACGGAAAAAATACTCATAGTGTGCTGACAGTGAAGTTCCACGAAGCAACGTTTACAGCACGACTATCACAGCATCGGAAAATATCATAGCGATACAATTACTTGACAATGGAAGCAGGCGCGAAGTTTGACTTATCATACAAGGTTACAGCAGCAAGAAAAATGCACGAAGAGTTCTGTAGATAAAGATGATAATAACGCAGAGAATAATATGGAATGGTGGGAGTGAAGAGCAGCGGGAAATAGGCAGTCAACCACGAGGTAAAGGCATACCTGCTCCTTTGCACTGCCAGAAGCATGCGAATCTTCTTCGATCCAGCCTAAGGTTGTCGAAATTTTCTTCTGCAAGGGAGAGACATGAGTTGGATTCTCCTGTGACTGCGTCAGGAGATCTACTCCGCAGGTCCAAAGACACCGGATGTTAATAGCACAACAACACCCATATCCCACTAAAATATGGATGGTAGCAGGATTATGTTCGAGGTAATACCACTATAACACCCACATACAACACCCATATCCCACTAAAATATGGAAGGTAGCAGGATTATGTTCGAGAATTAGTTATTGGTGTTCATGGAATCTGTCTGACATCAAACCGATAAGATTCAAAATGCGGGAGGCTTGAGCAAAGTATAATATTGTTCATCTAAATCATTATGGAGGTGAATCCGAATAATAACAAACACTTAAACTAAAAAATTTCAAAAAAAGATTCAAATGGCGTCGAGCGGCCTTTAATTCTGGTCTAATGGGAACGACCCATGCAATTGGGCAGTCTTTTTTCTCAAAATTCCCGTTCACGCGTGCACAGGTGAAGGCTGTTTTAAAAGTTCGGCAGATAAAGCGCATATGAACCGAGTTTGTAGTGCATAAACCAAATTATAAAGAAGAATGATAGCGCTATACAAATTGTGATTAGTCAAACTTTACCGTTAAAAGGAATTCTATTAAATAGCGCGATTAAAGTTATCAATTGATAAACTCAGAGAACAAACAGTTTGTAATGGTTAGTGGATTATAAATGTTGAAATATCACACAAAACCGCAAGAAAACAGATGTAACTCCACCTACCATTAGCACCAGCGTTAAACATAGGCAGACAAAATTCGCCGAGAGAAAAATCGATTCTACGAAAAAAATGTTCATGCTTGGCTTTCTCGTACACATGAGTCTATATGTATACTCAAAAAAATGAGTCATCCTTGCACAGCTTAAGCTATTCAGTGCTACGTCCGTTTTCTGCTGTTTTTAAGGACTGTGTGTCGCTATTTGGACAATTTGACTTATTCATTTTACTGTGTATAGCATCTTTGCCAGCATATCTCTTCCAGTAAGCAATAAACTACAAGTAAGTTAAATAGAATCGTACGATATATGCAAATTGGAATGTTGTTCCAAATAAATAATTCAAATTTAATGTAGATAGTTTAGTGTCAATTTAAATTGGGTCAACTCGATTATACTGACTTACAACATTGCAAAATCGGAGAACTCGATAGAAACCTACATAACGCTTTCCATTCCAGAATTGAATATTATTTTACTACAACAAATTTTCATATCAAATATTTTCCCAGAGATAAGAACACGAAGTGAATCCATCACAGACAAAAATTAATACAAAATTTTTTCTATAGTTCACCGGAGGGGAAGTGTCTCGGTACAGAAAAAGGCTTTCAAAGGTGCTGAAGTTTACCTCTATTTCCATTTTCCTAAAGTCACATTCGAATAATATTCGAAATATTTTATATAAAATACACGTTTTCTTTATTGTTGATAAAATATAATTATCGAGATAGTCACCTTGAAGCTCTGGCGAGTGAAGACGGGCACGCCGTTGTCCATCTTCTCAGAGATGAGGCCGAGAGTGAGGGGCGACCACGCCATCGTGCCCACACCTGTCACGGGCACGGTGATGGTTAGTGAGACAAGCAACGGCATTCATTGGGCGTTTGCTTAAATTCTAGACACAGTGACACACTACAGAACTGGGGCCGTACTTCAATAAAAACTTGTTTAAGTACATGTAGCGGCCCAAGTACATGTAGCGGCCCAAGTACATGTAGCGGCCCAAGTACATGTAGCGGCCCAAGTATAAATATAGCGGTCAAAGTACATGTCGCGGCCCATTTCAGGCAGGTACAGCTCGGTCTTGTCCCAGCGGGAAATGCGGTACTTACCAATTTTGTTGAACATTTCAGGCAGGTACAGCTCGGTCTTGTCCCAGCGGGAAATGCGGTACTTACCAATTTTGTTGAACATTTCAGGCAGGTACAGCTCAGTCTTGCCCCTGCAGAACATGTGGTACTCGGACTGCTCGACGATGGGCGTGGGGCAGTTGAACTGGCGGCAGTTGGTCCAGGCTTCCATGATCTCGACAGGCGACCACCGCGCGGTGCCCCAGTACATCACCCAGCCCTGGTCGATGCAGAACGACATCGCACGTACCACTTCTGTGGATGGAACAAATAAAATTCATGTTTATACAATTTCTACGCGTAGTATTTCAGGTAGAATTATATCAACTTCACTTTCATGTTACCGCGAAAAAATATTTTGTGCACGACAAATGAACAATAATATCATCGTCATAAAAATACTAATAACATTTTGTAGAGAATAGAGTGTCATAATACTGAAATCGTCTAATACCACCGCCCTTACCTTCCACACACCACCCTATCTTCCATAGGGCACATGCCAGCAGCAGTACGCACCACCCCAACTTCCATAGGGCACATGTAAGCAGCACACACCACCACACCTTCCATAGGGCATATGTCGTCAGCAGCACACACCAACCCACCTTCCATAGGGCACATGTCAGCAGCACACACAACCCTACCTTCCATAGGGCACATGTCAGCAGCACACACCACCCTACCTTCCATAGGGCACATGTCAGCAGCACACACCACCCTACCTTCCATAGGGCACATGTCGTCGGCGCGGTGGATGATGACCACGTCGACGTACTCGAGCTGCAGGCGCTCCAGGGAGCCTTTCACGGACTCGACGATGTGTTTGCGTGACAGGCCGCGCTCGTCGCCCCTGGCGAGAGTTCGTAAACCTTAAATGGCTGGTTTATTAAAAAATTATCTATACATTCAATATGCAAAATATGTCAAAAGTCTCAAATATTTTAAATGCGGGGAACGTTCAACAAAAATAAATAGGATCTTTCTCCACGTTAAATTTAGTTTTTTGTCCGTGAAAAATGATGGTCGATCAGAGAACTCAATCTAGATGATTAATTAGTTTTTAAACTTTATTCCTTTGGATGAATATCCAGTTCGTATTGTCACCGGACGCCTGCCGCTACCCTTAAACTTGTCAAAATGATCGGAGCTCTTACGGCCAAACGCCGGCAACTATCTTGTGAAAAGTTCAAGGACTTTTGCTAAAACTAAATTACACTTTATTGCACTGGGATGTCTTTCATTAAAAGTTCGGTTAACACGGTAAAGCTTAGCTTTATTTCAGCAAAGCACACTTCAAAGGGATACGTTTAAAAAATAACAGAACAAGCACGATGGACATTACACTGCTTGATGGATCATATAGAGCACAGCCACACAAGAACTAGCGTTGGAGCACAAGATCGCTAACTTAGCAACGGAGCGAGGTGAGTTCAGGTTAGAACCTCACTGTAGGGCTGGCGGGACACGACTGACTACCTGACTCACAGCCGCTCAGACCTGACCTTGCGCTACGTCGCTACCGCCCACGTAAGGTCCGACATAAATGTTGCCAAGGCGGCTACGCTAGATGTGGCTTTCGGTATGCCCACGAGATAAAATGAACACGGCTAATAGTGAACGAAGTTCATCGTTCACAGTATTTTTAAATCATTGCCAATTACAATGACTTTCTTATCACCATTTGATTTTTGATTGGTTAGCAGCTGCCATTATGACTAAACTTGTTACACCGCAATATTGATTGTTCTCGAGTCCAGGGCCATAGAGGACATAGAACCATAGAAACCAGAGTCAGGGCTCCGATAGAATGCATGAATTTAGTGCGGGTACTATCTATTAGATTTATATAAGAAATTAACTGAGGAAAGTTTAGTTTACCTGGAAATGGTGGTCAAGTAGACATAAGTTCTTCATATTCAATCCTACAAAACCAACCACAAACTATATAATCGAGTGAACGAATGCAATTTAGTAAGTACGAATAAAAAAGTACTTAGATTTTGTCAAGGAAAGCTAAATTCAAGTTTATTCTAATTTTATGTTGGGCATTAGAGCATCCAAACCGACAATAAAAAAGGCCTGAGCAATATATAAATTTTAACGAATCATCAAGGAATTTTCTTACATAACACTTCTCGGTTTGGTCGTACAAACTTTAAACTTTTATGTTCGTTCGACGGCATGAAATACTGGCAGAAATAATCGAATGTAAATTGCGATGATAACATGGAAAATCGTCCATACCCTAATAAAAAAATAGCTATGAAGAAATCTAGTCAGAATAGGAGCTTAAGTTGAAAATGATACTATTCATATATGAGTGAACATGACGTTTATAAGCATCATATAAACACATGAAACTAGTCAAAGCGACCGCTCAGCCTAAAGTGAATAGCTTAGAGAAAAAATCGGATTACAGTTCATTAAAATAATAACAGAGGACTTACCCGGAATATGAGGTTGAATTATGTTGCAATCCGGGCTATATATTTAGAGCCGAGTTTCGTTCAAGAGAATTGCACCGTACACAACGTTTATATGTTAGAGGCAATAAGACCACCACTGCGTAAGTCTGCATCGTAAAACGACGTAATGAATCCCAACGAAGCCACAAAGGCTCTAAACGGGCCATTAAAGCAAGCTGACGTTATAAAGCAGAACCGTTGTTGTTAGACTGCCTGAGCGTAGAGGGTGTTAGGTACGGTGGATTGTGGCCACTGAGCTGCTGGCCACTGAGCTACTGGCCACTGAGCTGCTGGATACTCAGTTGCTGGCCACTGAGCTGTTGGCTACCTTATTACTACGACTTGGCCAACACGGAATGTGTACTAGTGTACTAGTGAATTTGTGTCACTAGTGTACTAGTGACACAAATGTTGATATGAAAGCATCATAATGCACTAATGTCATAATATGTTAGTGTTGGAACATATTACCTATAATGGCGCATGAATTTAAATTCATGATAACGCATGATAAACTATAATGGCGCATGAATTTTCCATCATGATAACAGAATACCTATATGTTATCATGATGGAACATAATACCTATAATGGCGTAAAAAAAGGAAGTGTAATAATAGTAGTTAGTGATCTTCGGAGGCGCGTGCAATAACCATCACTTGATCCATTAAAGCGGCTAGCGTTTCAGTGGCAAGGACTATAAATGTGCAACAGATCGTATGTTAAAACTCGAATAATAACATCGATGATAATGATAACTGAAAATGTGAATATAGAGTTGAAAACAACAGAAAAGTCGCCAAAAATTCTTACCAAATTCAAAAAATGCATAGAACATTTCATTAGCATTTGCAGTAGGGTAACGTTCAGAATGTGAGAGATAAGATCATGGGAAAGTGGTGCGCGGCCTGTGGCCAGGCACATCACATCGGCACAATTTGCAGAGCGCCTGATCAAAAGCTCCTGAGAAGAGCTCTTTTAGCGATGATTATGCAAACAAGGAAGAAAATGGGGCGCTTTGAAGGCGCCAGCGGCTCTCTTTCACGGTCCAGTTCAGCAGGCTGAACGATTGAGAAAATCGCTTAGGCAGCCTGCCTGTGTAGGTTGCTGTATGGCAGGCTGCTGTGTGGCAAGATGGCTGTATGGCAAACTGCTGTGTGGCAGGTTGGCTGTGTGGCAAAATGGCTGCATGGCAGGCAGCTGAGTGGCAAGATGGCTGTATGGCAGGCTGCTGTGTGGACGGATTGCCTTGTGTTTTGATGGAACTACTAAACATTTACGAATGAAAGCAACTGAAGCACATAAGATGGTAAAAATTAGTATCGAAAATAGAGAAATGCAAAAGTTGTGGAAAAGAATTTACTCATTTTTGATGTTAAGACGGTTTGATAATAATTTTTGTACTACAACTTCTATTGATAACGAATGAGAATCGTTCACGGTCTTTTTAGACATTTTATTACTCATTTCAATTTGTTTAAGCTAGGTGATAAATTATACTACATACATGTATGGGTTTTTATCGAAGCCGGTTGAATAACTTAGACTTCTGACCCCTTCAGGGAAGATTGGTCTCAGAGAGAGAGCGAGGTGACGAGGTCGATTCCTTGTATGAGACAGCAGTTGTGTCCTGCTAGCCGATCGGCGAATTTGCTGCTCTGGGGCTATACTTTCAAAACTTGCTAAGTGAACGTACATAAATACTTACGCTCCATTCTCTTGTCTATGATTGGTGTATTTTGCTTGAAAGGCCGTCAATGATTGGCTGATGAACTTACGATCTCTAAATTTTTTTCTGAAAGTATAGGCCTTGACCTCCCTAGTGGTAGCTAGTAACTGCCGATCTGGCATAAAGCTTGGTGTCTAGCAGTGTGCCCTATCCCTGACTGAGCCGATTAATTATTTGCCAGTGTCTGTGATGCTCCTAACTGTAACCGTAACTGTAGAGTGATCGACCATTTTAAAGTGCTATGTTTCTATTGGATTAAACGTTTTAGAAACTTCAGTGGTGAACTGGAAAGTTGTGTTTTCAATATCAATTCTTTTAAACTAGCTTTTTAATAAGTTCGTGGCCAGCGTGCAACCTTGGGCGGCCATCCGTTGCAGCTAAGGTAGTGAACGTCCGGTCATACTATTTTCTCTGCATGCAAATTGGAGGATAACCTGGTAAACTCCTTATATTTATAATAAACTTGCAAAAGAACGTAATGGACGTTCTTGAGATCTAAAAAGTTTCATAAAGTATTAAGTTAAACAATGTACGGTTAAATGCTAGGACACGCAGCGATTTGTACGATATTGTTTTTGGGGCCTGGCTAATCCTTGAGTTAAATCATAAAGCGCTATTGAATAAATCCTTTTCAGTTACATGGACCTTTCGGATGCTTGCACAAGCCATAAAAGAAGACATCTCACTTGGCGTTCCAGTAGACTTTGGTCATGACGTGGTACGAGTTTCTTCTCCAGTTCTTCCTCTTGAGGAGGTTGCCAAACTGCACCTCTGCCCTGCCGCTGCTGTAGGCTTCGCTCAGGTCGAAGAAGTTGATACCCGCGTCATATGCTGCCGTCACCACCCCGTCGGCCGTCTCCTCTGGCACCCCGGGGCTGAACGTGATCCACGCTCCTGCCGGGGGCGGGAGTGAGTGAAGGAATTATTGAGGCTGCTCGGAAGGAAGGGGCGGGAGCGAGTGAAGGAGCTACTGATGTTGCTCGGAAGAAGGGGGAGGGAGTGAAGGAGCTACTGATGCTGCGCGGAAGGAGGGGGAGGCAGTGAGTGAAAGAGCTACTGATGGTACTCGGAAGGAGAGGGAGTGAGTGAAGGAGCTACTGATGCTGCGCGGAAGGAGGGGGAGGCAGTGAGTGAAAGAGCTACTGATGGTACTCGGAAGGAGAGGCAGTGAGTGAAGGAGCTACGGATGTTGCTCGGAAGGAAGGGGCGGGAGCGAGTGAGGGAGCTACTGATGCTGCTCGGAAGGATGGGGAGGGAGTGAAGGAGATACTAAAGCTACAGCCCTGCCTCGGAACCTAGTCCGAGTTGCTAGTTGCATGCCCCGCTCCTCACCTAGTACTCCTCACCTAGTCCGAGTTGCAAATTGCATGCCCCGCTCCTCACCTAGTCCGAGTTGCTAGTTGCATGCTCCGCTCCTCACCTAGTACGAGTTGTTAGTTGCATGCTCCGCTCCTCACCTAGTCCTAGTTGTATGCCTCGCTCCTCACCTAGTCCGAGTTGCAAATTGCATGCCCCGCTCCTCACCTAGTCCGAGTTGCTAGTTGCATGCTCCGCTCCTCACCTAGTACGAGTTGCTAGTTGCATGCTCCGCTCCTCACCTAGTACGAGTTGCTAGTTGCATGCTCCGCTCCTCACCTAGTCCTAGTTGTATGCCTCGCTCCTCACCTAGTCCTAGTTGTATGCCTCGCTCCTCACCTAGTCTGAGTTGCAAATTGCATGCCCCGCTCCTCACCTAGTCCTAGTTGCATGCCCCGCTCCTCACCTAGTCCTAGTTGCACGCCCCGCCCCTCACCTAGTCCTAATTGCATGTTCCGCTCCTCACCTAGTCCTAGTTGCATGCCCTGCCCCTCACCTAGCCCTAGTTGCATGCCCCGCCCCTCACTTAGTCCTAGTTGCATGCCCCGCCCCTCACCTAGTCCTAGTTGCATGCCCCATTCCTCACCTAGTCCTAGTTGCATGCCCCGCTCCTCACCTAGTCCTACTTGCATGCCCCGCCCCTCACCTCGTCCTAGTTGCATGTCCCGCCCCTCACCTAGTCCTAGTTGCATGCCCCATTCCTCACCTAGTCCTAGTTGCATGCCCCGCTCCTCACCTAGTCCTAGTTGCACGCCCCGCCCCTCACCTAAACCTAGTTGCATGCCCCATTCCTCACCTAGCCCTAGTTGCATGCCCCGCTCCTCACCTAGTCCTAGTTGCATGCCCCGCTCCTCACCTAGTCCTAGTTGCGAGACGCGCAGTCCAGACTTGCCAAGAGGCTTGTACTTGAGGGCCGTAGTGACTGCTGAGGTCTGGCGCGACACGAACGCATGGCTCTCGCTCTTGCTGGAGACGTGGTCGCCGCACCCCTGGAACTCCTCCATGCAGTCCAGCGATGCGATCGGTGCCCGGCAACTGCAACCATCATAATGTCTCTTGATCTTTTATTTAATTGAGTGTATAGGAAAAAGTTTAATATAATAATAGCTATATGTAAATAAAGTTTACATATATATGCAAAGTTAAGTTTACAGCTATATGTAAACCAAGTTTATATATAGATCGGAGCGATTGCAACACGATTACAGATTACAATGCGATCGCAGCCCGGCAACTGCAACCATTATATAATGTCTCTTAATCCTTTATTTAATTGAGTGTGAAGGAACAAGTGTAATATAATATTAACCGAATGTAAGCTATACATTTTTTATCAAATAAAATATTAATTGAAAATACATTACATTTGTAGCGAGACAGCTAGAGGTCATTTTTCTTTACAACAATAAGTGTACAGGATTATGGTTAAAAATGAGTTCAACGATTAAAATTCTGGTGAGTTTTCATCGATTACATCAAAACTATTCGATATGCCTGAGTGATTGGAAGTTAAACAAAAAACAGCAGTAACGCAGCACTAAATAACCGAAGTAAAGGAAACAAACTGTGCACAACTGCGTGGCGAAGATAAACAGCAGAAGCTTTGCGAGACAATATAAATATTCAAAGGATGATTTGGAAATTAGATTAGTAGATGACAAAATGTTGCTGACAATCATATGCTTGATGATCATGAAGGAAGCTCAGATGTTAGCTATTTTAAGCTCAAGTTTTAAATATTAATGGGATTTTCTGAGAAGAATAAGTAACTTGAAAATCAGTAAACTCCGTGTGAAAATTCAAGATAGAGAACGAAGTGCAGTTAGCGATAACACTAGAGGCATCATACGCAAGACGGGGAAAAATTATTCCTATTTAAAATGTAAAGTTTCAAGCAAATCTTTATGGATTGAAAACTGTGAAGTATAGTGACATTTTTGCAAGAGAAATAAGTCGGTGTGTCACTCAAACTTGCTCAATAAAATAGACAATAGAAGTCAAAAATAGAAGTCCTAAATCCGACCTCCGAGAAGGATGGTTCGGAACAAATTCTGCTGTAATATATTGTGAAAAATAGCGACAGTTGAACAACAGCATACCAAGAAATTAGCCTCAGACGGATGCGATGTAACCGTATGATTCTTGCTACGATCAAGCATCATTGTTTCAATCAGGGACTTGAACTATATACGTGCCAAAATTGTGAAATTAATAAATGATCATTAATTGAATGAAATTAACGTTAGATTCACTCTTTATTTATTAAAAACAATCAAGTTGTGATAAGGTGACGATAAAGCTTGACTAATATTTGCAAAAAACGCTGAACCAAACTCGATGTAAACATGAAATATGTTAGTAAAAAAAGCGTTAAATAAATCAATCAAACATACGGCAGCTCGTCCCTCATTTCCTCTTCGTTGATGTTCTGGAAGGGCGCCTTGCAGCTGCAAAAAAATATATTAACTTGGGTGAAAAAATCCTCAAGCAAAGAAAAAAGATGCGTGGCTGAAGCGTTAATTGTTTTCGCGAGAAAGAAAATGTTTAGAGTTTAAGCTGCGCTCATATTGCGCCTAAATTTTAGTGATACCAAAAAAATTGCCGAAAGCAAAATAAAATTAGACGAAAAAATATATATGATCTCGGCAAATAAGAAGCACTGTGTCAGAATACAAGAAGCATATGCTATTGTTTCACCGAGAATAAAGTAACGGATATACTTGCAAGAGTGGGAAAATTAAGGGTTTAGAATAGAAATATTATTTAGAGCACACATATTTTACATAATGCACAATATTACACAAATACACACAATACAAAATCTCCCAATTTGGGCCAATTTCTCTCATTGCAAATGGCAAACTTTTCAAATCCAACCGGGAATTATTTATGCTTCAATTCACTTAAGGGAACGGAGGAAATGTTAATTAACTGAGAAAAAAAACGAATCCACTTGAACAGCAGTAGAAATTGCCTTGCAAATGAGAACAAATTCTAGAATGATACTAAAAGCCCTCGGAGATGAGGACGTCTCGAGAGAGACGCATGATGCCAGTTAAGAACTTATGGCGGCCTGACTTCATTTCAAGAATAAAATAACGAACTATAAATATTAACGTCTCACAGCAGTACTAAAAAAGACCATTATGTCATGGAAGCAGCACCAAATAACGTTTGTAGTAAGTGAAGTTGTAATACCGAGCACACATTGATTTTTTGCAATCGTTAAATGCGACTGATTTCACGTCAAAATGAAGAGAAATTTTGAATTCGATCTAAAAATGCATAACCATAACCCCAAAAATACATAAAATACATACATAAACAACTGAGAAATAGACACAGAGTTTTAGGCTCAATCTAAAAACTTGAATTGAACCGGACATCGAAAAAGAAATGATATCGATTAGCTAAACAACCATTACCAAACAAGCAAAATGAGGTTCGCTGAAAATATAACATCAGCATTCAAACAAAAACTAGAACAGCTTTCAACCGGCATTCTGCACTGTCTCCCAAATTTCAAACAATTAAATGAAACTAAAATAGTCCTAAATGATGAATACGGAAGTCCAGCGGCTGAAAGTCTCGCTCAAGTTAGAAAATACCATCACATGCACGTACTCTACGCGAAGTTGCCATGAAAACATTTCGAATGCCATGCACTCCTGGCCGGAGTGCCCGGCCCAAAATCGGACCCCAAAAGTACGGACTTTTTGTACGCTTAGGAGGACAGATCCTCCGACTAATCTGCAATTTCGGAGCAAACACAAGTTGGAAGCAAGCCAGACTGCGGGTATGGTAGTACTCGCAAAATGTTCATTAACGGTATTGGCCGAGGACGAGTTGACGCCAGGAAGAGAAGAAGGTAATCATTTAAACGATCTAATGAATAATTCCCGGTATTCTCACCATTTAATTGGAGCCTCAAATACTATTCTATTTCTATGATATGACAAGTGTTGTATGAGACTCAAGCGACTTTACGTTACAAACACGTTGTACAAAATTCGGTGAATGAGTCGATTCGTCACTGAATGATGAAATGAAATGAGATCCTTAGTGGCAATGAGCGGTTTCAATTGATATTGTTCAATGAATAAGAACTAACCTATCGACAGAAGGTAAAAAATGAGAGGTGCTAGCGCGGTCTCGAAATGACCACGACCGCAAGCTTTGCTCGGAGACATCCTTTGTGGGAAGTGAAATACGAGGCAGCGGCATTCATTTCACAAGGCGTCCCATGAAAGGCCACTTGATCAAAATTCCGCGAACAAAATCGTCAACAAATGGCCTGAATTGGACACACGCAGTATATACGAATCGTTAGGACACACAATTCATCGGGACGAGTTTTTCATGCCGAACAGCGAAATAATAGCGAAATGGTCTAATTGAACGATGTTTCATTCAAGGATTGGTATTTAGCTACTCAGAGCCAGTTTATACCAAAAAATTGTTCCAATGCTGCGCGTACACGGAACTGTCTAATAAGCGGAAATAAAGAGCAAAAGTTGCAGAAATAAAGAGCAAAAGAAACAGAAATAAGAGCAAAAGAAGCGGAAATAAAGAGCATAAGTTGCGTCAAAAATACTTCTTCCATGAGAAACACTTCTTTAATTTGAGCAGTGTTGGAAAAAAGCTCTAATCCCCATTACCGGCGCACGGAGTAGCGTTTGCCAGTTATTTTAGATGCAAACTTAGCCGTCGCTAAATCCTAATTGGCAAGCTATATTTAGCAATACTATAAAATTAAAAAATAATTAAAAAGACTCACCACGACCATTGAGATCAGGATAAAAAAAACTATATTGAGCAAAATAAGAGATTATAGAATGGCATCTATGATTGTTGAAACGACTATATAGGAGAAGAAAAATAAACTTGCTCATTTAATTACAGCTTAAAGTCACTTAAACTAATCCCTACACATTATCGATGTGTACTCACGTGTCGAGTTCTAGACGGCTAGAACTGCCGCTGAAAATTTCACAAAAGAGATAATGCATGAAGAATTGTTCGACTTTAGGCAACGAAACTATTATTCCCAACACGCATCCAAGCTGCGAGTAACAAACGGAGGCGGTCATTCTTCACCGTCAGTACCGCAGTCGTCAGAGGAAGTTTGGTCACGAAGTCGAGTTCCGAGACCGTCGCACCACGCCATCCATCCATCACCCGCTGGCCGACTCCTGCCACGAATCTTCAATCGGCACCCATGGCGATGACGCTTGTGATTCCCAAACCATTCCAATATAGAGAGCCACCGCGTTATTATTACAGGTTATCGCGTTGCCATTCAGGTCTACCGCGTTATTATTCCAGTTTATCGCGTTACCATTCAGGTCTACCGCGTTATCATTCCAGTTTATCGCGTTACCATTCACGTCTACCGCGTTATCATTCCAGTTTATCGCGTTACCATTCACGTCTACCGCGCTATTATTACAGTTTTTCGCGTTACCATTCGCGTCTATACCGCGTTATCATTCCAGTTTATCGCGTTATCATTCAGGTCTACCGTGATATTATTCCAGTCTACCACGTTTCCGTTGTGGCGGAATGACGGATTCTCTAAGGGAATGGTTATAAATTTCCGTCTCAAAATTAGAAATTACCATTGGGTTTCAGATTACATTAAACCTGAGATATATTGAATATTTCGTACCTTTGAGAACGACAACTATAAAAAGATGAAAATATGAAATTGTTCGCGAAAAGAGATAGATGTTAAATGTATATAAATAACTTTTGACGCGTGAAAAATAATATTTGGACAGTTGGACGAACTTAGTTTTTATGTTCAGAACGTGGTCCTTTAAAACAAACTGTAGAAGAGTTTAAAAAAAACTGTAGAAGAGTGCAATAACATTATGAACTTTTTTTTTCAATTTAATCTGACAAAAAGTGTAACAATTACGATCACTTTCGGGAGCAGCTAGAGATGAAGGTCTTGACGAATATGAACAATTGATCCAGTAAGTTGAAGAAATTTACCTTGCATGATCAAATTTCCATCAATTGAAAAAAAATTTCCTTTACAACTTTTGTCAATAGCAATCAGTATTACGGATACCCATTGTCTCGAAAGCAATTATTTCACACGCTTAAGAAGAAACTCAACCATTTCAAGGCGATTGCAGCTCAAGACAAAATTATAGCCGAAACATGCGAGCGGAGGAGACCAGCGGCAAAGAGGAAGGGTTTTGTCAACACGAGACTCTGGGAAGCACTTGACCGCTTCGCGCACAGAGTACTCTAGTGGCGCTATTGTTAACCTGTCGTCAATTTTCCTGAACGAAGACGTCGCTGGTCAACAAGAGATAAGAGCACCTGAGATGGGACCCTGCATTGTGGGACAAAGCAAACTAACCTGATCTGAATCAATCCAGGATAAAGGCTTTTTTCCCCGATCTTATCGGAACCTTTCATAAGAAACCTTGGGCTAAGGCAAATGCAGAAGATAGGATAAGAGACAATGGTGGTGTTCATCGCCGTTCTGTGGACTTTATACACAAAGAGAGTGAATTAACAAGCGGTGAGAATATTACATTAATCTGTGACTGCATTTATCAACTCAAAATATAAAAGAGGAACGTGAAGGTATATGTTCAATGAGTGAATTATAAATATCGGACAACCGGAATTACACGAGACAATTTCTAGCCAGCAAGTGAAATGAAAACAAAGTTCGAGATTTCGTTGAAGCATTTTTCCACCTGTGATACGACAGTAAATCACGCGTAAACTTGGTTCCACGCAAACTAGGCAGCTGCATATGGTAGCGGAGTTTGAAAGTCTCACGACGACTCCAAGCCGAAATTTATTCTCGTGCGATGAGAAAATCTAAAAGCCAGACGGACCAGCCTATTTTTTCCCACGAACAGATCAAGTTACCGAATTCGCTAAAGAAAGAAATCCCCGCGGAAATCATGGAACATCCTGGAGGGTTTGGTTTGTCCTGCACTACATCTTGACTCTGCAACTTCAAACAGTGGACGTGGAAAATCTTCAATTTGTCTAAAAGCCAAAAGAGACGACGAAACAGAAGCCAAATCTGCTGGACGACAAAACGAAAGAGGATGACAAAAGGGAAGGGGATGGCAAAACGGAAGGAATGACAAAACGAAAGGATGGCGACAACGGACGACAAAACGAGGGGATGGCAAAACAGAAGGGGACTGCGCTGCGAAAGAGGACAACAAAATGAAAGGGGACAGCAAAACGGAAGACAAAACTGGTGGACAACAAAACGGAAGACAATGAAAAATGAAATATAAACGATTGACGACAAAAACAAAAAAGGACGACAAAAGATGGGGCCGAAAAATCGAAGAATATTGATTGATCTGAACAGAGTGTATGTAGTCCGAAGAGGAAGCGGCGACAGCGAATACTCGTTGGAATAATTGAGGCTCAGTTGGATTTCGAGCAAAGTAAATAAACG